CAGTCCCAGATGCATAGAACTGCCCAGGATGTTGACAAATAAAAATGGCAAGTAATAGGATATATTGGAGTATATGAGGAAGCCATTTTGTGTAAACCTAATTCGGCCTGACCTTGTCCTTCCAAAAGGGCCTGACCTTGGCTGTTGAGCATGCATTGTATATCTGCTTTAGATATTCCCTATGGCAAGAGCAAAGACCCTTGAGATAAAGGTGCAACTTCCCTCCCCCTCCCAACGTTGGCATTTCTTTAAGGATAAGAATCTTTCCTTAGGCTAGAAACCGATTGCTGTGACCACCCAGGTCAAGACAATAGACTTGCCTCCTGCTACACCCTCTGAGATAGCAGACCCACTACCTGCTGTGTCCATCAAGTGCTGTGCCGACAGGGCAATCTTGTGACTATTGTGGGAGGGACATTTCAATCATATGTGAAACGTCCTGTTTGGGGGTATATAACCACTTTGTATACCTCACTTCTTTGGTGCCCTTTCTTCCTTTGGGAAGAAAGGCCCCGGGCCATGGTCTTCATATTTCACCTCAGAATAAACTCACTCAAATTTTCATTTATAGATTGGTTATGGATTATTTTCATCAACAACATGGTGGGATTACTGTTTCACCTTGAAATTGGAGAGATTGCAGTAGATAATCTCTGGGGTTCACATAAAGTAGAAATGATTGGGAATATTACCTTTTTGGAGAATCAAGGATGTGTGTGTGCGTAGCCAAAGGAAGAAGCCTAGATTGAACTAAGAGACAGGGATAGCCAGGGGTCAGGACCAGGTCCTCTTGTTGCAGCACCATATCCTCAGAAATGTCAAGACAGGGCATTGTGAAGGATCAGAGAGGAATGTATTTTAAACGAAGCTTCCAGAAATAGAGGTAACCTTGACTTCCAACAGAAAGGAAGATTCCTTCCCAGTTATGCTAATTACACACAGGGTCTCCTGGGTATGGTTATGCTAGTTAGTTATGCTAATTATATCCTGATGGCCAAGAAGAGAAAGCAACTGGAAAGGGCACTTGGCCTGGGGAGGGAAGTTGTGGGTCCTCCAGCATGCACCACCAGACCCTGTTCCTGAGCTGCTCTTCTACAGTAAAAACTGAGAATCAGACCTGCTCAGCTGTAACCAAAAGTCAAGTCTCCAGTGTCCCCTGATGTAGGCTTTTGGGTCATGCTGAGTTGGTGAGGTGTCAGCCAAATGTAAAGCAATAGAATCTACTTTGGTAAAAGAATATTCCAGGGCTCTTATTCATACCTTCTGCTGATGTTTAGCCCATTCTGGTAAAATGTTAAGTGGAAAAGAAAGTGACAATTGTCATGACACCAGCATAGCAAAAAGACAGGTGAAAAGAGTTTTAATATAGTCAGTGAGCAATTGGGTGTTGAGAAATTGGGTAAACTGTTTTCTTTCTATTTTTCTCTATATTCTACATTTCAACAATAAGAAAACATTGCTTTGGGGGACAAAATCCACAACTACGTATTGGTTCATGAAAAAAAATTTTATTTCGCATTGTCAACATTCAAAACTATGTTTCTCTCAATTATTATAACCATTTTTATTCAATTACTGCTCAAATTTAAGACTGAATAACTGTTGACGATAATCAGCCATAGTTTTAAAGAAATCTGTTCCAACCCCCAGCCAAATACTCTTTGCAGCATGTCAAATTACAAAAATAATGCAATTTAGTAATGAGATTGATGCCTCTATTCAAGGGAACACAATCCATGGCCTGGGGAGCACAGCGCCTCACAGGCAGTGGAGCCCTCTGCCCAGGGACTGTAGGAAAGAGGAGCTCTATGGAGCCTTAGGAGCATTGATGCAGAAACAGGCAGGATTAGCCAGGAGGTCAGTGACTTCCTTATAAGGCCAGCACGTCAATCAGAGAATAAGGAGAGAGCATTTATCTTAAGGTGATTGGCAGGGGTTGCATATCTGACCTTATTTAGAACAGGGAAATCATCACAGGTTCCTGGCAGGTGGGGCCTGGCTGGCTGGATAGACTGTGTTTCTGGTCCAGCGCAGCATTTATAGGGACAGGAAAGTTATCTGAGTTCTGATTTGCTGACCTGGCACCCGGGACAGCAGCAGCTCAATCTTCAGACTAAAAGGTAATTTCAACAAGTGATGTTTGTTTTCCTTTCCTCTTCTCTTCCTGCTGTGATGTGTCCTCTCTAAGAGGCACTGAAATGTTATACTGGTCTGAGAGACACATGTTTAAAAAACAATAGAGGAAAACTCTTGTTCAGCACACAGTCAAAGAGTATCCAGGGCTTTTCCTCTCAGCCCTCATGTGGAGTCTGGAGGATTCTAGTCAAGACCCCTCTGGTCTTCAGTAAAAGAGAGGCAGGTGTGGCTTGAGGGAGCAGGACTTCCTCTCATCCGGGTCTTCCTGCTGCTGCCAGGACTGACACTGCTCTGAGGGAGCCGAGCTCAGCCAGCCTGGGAGCAGGGGGTGGGCAGAGCAGATCAGACTCAGGCAGAGGGGTGAGCAGAGACCCAGGTACTGAAGTTTGCGCTTTTAATTTAACCTCTGAGGCCCTGGAGACTTTATCTGACCCGGACAGCGCTCTTCAGGCCATCACAGAATCTTAGAGCTAATCTAATCTGACTTCTTCATTTTAGTCATGGAATCAATTAGATATTCACATTAGGACAATTATTAGTGAAATGGACAAGCCTGGAAAACCAAAACGAAGAAATCCATTGACATATTTTGATGAGAGGACTGTGGATACAATCTTCTTTCTTTCATCTCCAATTTTCCTCCATATAACACTGTGTGTTGAGTAAATATTTTTTCTTGAAAAATCATTTGTCTTCTGTTAGAATTAGTAACTATTTTTAAAACCGAGTCATAGGTTTGCTAAGAAATCAGAGGCTTAGACACTTGAAGATGAAAGGGAAACCCTTCTTACCAGAAGCCTCATTGCTTCTCATTTTTAAAGATGAGAAAACAGCTCCCCAAATGCAGGTGACCCCTTCAATGTTACAGGACTGTGAGCACTGATGCAGAATCAGGACACCCCTCCCTGCTTTCTAGTGTGCGTGCCTTTCATGGAGTGAAGCTGTCATTTCAAATTCGACAACTTCATCCAGAGCACCCAGGAAGTGTCAGGTGTGGGGCCAGGCCCTTTCACGTTAACCTCATGTTTACAACCAGTGAAGATAATGCAACTCTTCGGGGCCACACTCGTATTCTCAGTCACCACAGGATGACAGTTGGGCTCCCTGGACATTCCTCACAGAACTCTCTTTAAAGAGTGGACCAAGCCTAAGAGCTATCAGGTTTGGGGGCACTATCTTTTAAAGGACTTGAAAAGATATCATCAAATGTCCATTAACAAGCTCAGTAGTTCAGAGAATGAACCAAAGGTGTACTATAAAGGGTTTATGAGAATTTGGTTTGAAGACAAAAAGAAGACATTTAACGTGATTTTTCTTAGGGATGTGTGCTATGTCAGGAAATAGAAAGAATTTAGAACGAAATGTGTTATTGGCATTGGTGTTGGTGGTGGGGTGGTTTACAAAGTGGAGTGCATAAGACAATACGTTGGTGTGTGGGAAGAAAGTGTTAGATGTACGTTTTGTTTTCATCTCATATTCTCAAATTGTCTATTTTTGTGTATATTTTATAATAGACATAATGCATTTCTTCCATAGTTCTTGTGACATTACTTAATAAGTAAATACATGTACAAAAATTGACGGTTTATTCACCAATAAAATAAAGCCAAGAAAATTTTGAAGAAAATGAAAGCAAGAAAACATGCTCGCCAAAGAGCAGGAATTATTACAAAGCTATACTAATTAGAATACTGTGTTCCTGCCACATGATTAGACAAAATAGGGATTCGGCCCCATTTGTAAAGGTGAAGTTGTACATACACAATGATTCCAGCTTTTTCCTTAGAGAAACTGGCTCATGTACGTGGACACATACAGTGAAAAGAAGAGAGGGCTGTGTGAGCCTCTGGACCCTTAGTTATCACAGGGGTGGCAATGAAGAACAGGGGGAGAAATGACGGATGAGTCAATAATTTGGGGGAGAAATTGGATCTCCACATTCAGATTCCTACCTTACCCCCATACACGAAAATTCAATTCAAAGCAGATCAAAGAAATAAATGTGCAGAACAAAGCCTAACACTATTAGAAAAATATAAATGAGGACCTGTTTATGCTTCAAGATAAGGGATAAACTTTCATAAAACTGAGAAATACTTGAAATAATGGTCCCTGATGCAGTAAGCAAGTTAGAGCTGGTTCATTGTGCATAGAATTCTTCTTGCCTGGGGTCACAGCAGTGCGAAGGAACTGGAGTTTCCACTTGTGGTTCTGGTGGGATTGTCATGGAGAAATGTGATGACCTGTTAGGGCAGCAGCATCCAAGGTGCCATAAGAGAGGAGGGGTTTGTGTCTTGGGAGGAAGCCCAGGGGCACCTTTCTAGAATGCATTCTTATATCAGGCTAGGAACCTGCCCATTTGAGAGGGAGACAGGTCACCCTATCTCTTCCCGCTGGGACAGCAGTTCTTACAAATCAATCTGAATAAAAACCAGTGCAGAGGGCATTGAAAACTACACATTTTCAGCTTTCATCCCAAGATTCTGACATATTTTGTTGAATGTTACCCAGAACCTGCACTTTTGTTCAAACCTCCCCGGTGCTTTTGATGAAGGTGGTCCACGGACCACAGTTTGAGAAACACTATTCTAGGAGCTTAAACTCTAAGCTAGAGCCAAGGCTAAGAGTTTTGGCAGAAGGTTGGAGCATCCAATACAAAAGAGACCATACATAGGTGAATCCAGCCTGTCTGTACTTCAGTGTTAATTTTACATCCTTAAACTTGAACCAATGTGGTAGCCACAACACATTCCTATATGGATTTTGAGTTCAAATATGTACCATTCATGTCTGAGTCTTCACCGCAAATGTCCCTAATTCTAATTATTTAGAAAAAAATAATCTGATGGACTCATTCTGGTTTAGGACTTGGCCGTGTCACTGTTGGGGAAGGGGTGAAGGGAGCTTTGGCTTTACTTGCCTAAGACAGAGCAGTTCTGGGTGAGGCTGAATAGAGCACAATGGTTGGCATCTCTACAATAATCACTTTATTCCTACACTTTCACCGTCTCAACAATGCCATGGTTGACTATGGTGAGGGAAATATCAGTTTGTCCAAAAGATAAATCGAATACCAGCTTGAGGTCTTCATGAAGTCCAAAGTCTTCATTCCATCAAATCTCATTCTCCTCAGTACGGCAGGAGCTCCTTTCCCAGCCATTTTCTCTGGATAATGATTGGATAAATGATTCAGTACCACTAGCCTTCCTATACTGCTCTCCTAAATGTCTCCCTGAACACATCACCTAGAGAGGTGACCTTGTCTGTCCCAGGAAGCAGATAGAATGGACTCCACCAGTTCCTAGGAGAGCTGAAAGAATATGGTGTCTTCAGACTGCTTGTCTAAGGCCTTGAGATTAGGGGTGGATCTTTCAGAATGTGCCATGACTCACTGAAGCTGGGGACAGGCCAGTGGGCTGTAAGGGTGGAGGTTGGTCGCTGAGCACAGGGTCTCTCATGTTCAGAGCACAGTGAAATCAAGGCAGGAAGGGAGGCAGGGGCTGGTCTTTCCTGGGTGTCAAGGCTGCTCTTGGCAACCACAAGCAAAATTTTCTGTGCAGGATAGAGGAGATATGAATCACTGTGCCTCTCCCAGACAGCACAGCAATACACACCAGAATCTCTCTCTTGCAGAGATTTGATTAAAAGTTTACAGGTCCCCCCTGTGTCTTTAGAAGCATAGTATTTCTGTGAACTGAACCCCGAGTCCACCACAAACTTTGAGCTGGAGAACTGGTAGTAGAGAAGGCGTTGTGGGGCTGTCCCCTCCTGGTATCGGTACCAGTGGATGATGCCGCTGCTTTGTTTAATATCACAGGTGATTTCAACAGCTAAACCAGCCTGTCTGGTGACCGATATCTGTGTCCCTTCCAAGTTGGAAGATACCTGAGTGGCTGCAATGGGAACAACAAAAAGTAATGAGGAAGAGCTAATAGGAATCCCTCAGTATGCCCTCCCGTTGTCAAAAAAGAGAAAAATCCCAGGAGCATGGAGGCAGCACACTTACCAGGAGCCAGGAAAGCTAGAAGGAGGGCGAGAGCCCACAGCATGTCTTCCTCCTCTGGCCTTAGAAGGAAAGGACAGATGATACTCCAGTCCTGCTCGAAAGACAAGGACCCCAGGACACAAGGAAGGAGTCAGTGCCGGGCTCTGGACAGCTGTCACAGGCGGGCAGAGACTGAGGGGCTCTCCTAGAAGACCACCCAGCTGATGACCCAGAGTGGGTGGGGCTGGGGGAGGCCTGGGGAGGAGCCCTGCCTCTCTGCTCAGCCCATTTCCTGACAGCCTCCTGGGGCAGGCTGAGAGCAGGCCCTCTGCAGAAGAGGAGGAGCCAGGAGCCCTGAGAGCCCAGAGCAGAGGGAGGGACAGCCTGAGCCAATGGAGGGGGCAGGAGAGCCATGGATTCAGCTCCGTGTTCCCTGGTGCAGGGAGCGGTCCTGAGTCGGGGTACTTTCCTGCGACTCAGGGTTCAGTGTTCACGCTGCTGCCATGGGCTTGTCCTGTGATGCAGCTTCTGTATTCTGGCCCTGAACCACCTTCCTTTCACAGCTGTCAGAAAACTTTGAGGCAGCACCAGCATAGCTGATAAGCAGTGAACCCACTTTAGTAAAAGAAATCAAGAGAGACCAGCCCAATGGTGTTGTGGTTAAGTTAGTGCCTTCCTCTTTGGTGGCCTGAAGTTTGGATCCGGGACACAGACCTTTGTGCCACTCCTCATGCCGTGCTGTGGAGGCATCCCACATACAAAAACTAGAGGAAGATTGCCACAGATGTTAGCTCAGGGCCAGTATTCCTCACACACACACTCAAAAACAAGACAAAGAAAAAAGAAAAGAAAGAAAGAAAACAGAAATTAGGATCAGTTATGTTGGTCTACATTTGACTTTCCTGAAAGTCAAATGGATGTGTGTGTGTGTGTGTGTGTGTGCGCGTGCAGCAAATCAGTATGTTAGAGGATTCCTGTTCATCCTCACGTAATACGTCCATTCAACGTAGGGTTGCCAAATTTAGAAGAAAAGAAACTTGCAGGGTGCTGGTCAATATTTTTGACACAATTAAACTAAAAAATTATGTATTGTTTATCTGAAATTAAGACTTCCCTGGGCATCCTGTGTTTTATCAGGCAGCCCTCCCCTCAGGAAGTGTACCCATATCTGCGATTTACTTGGATTCACAGATGGGTAGATAAGCAATCAAACAAGCATAGTGAAATCACGGGAGAAGTGAAATGGTACATACAGAGATTTCACCCCCACTTTTAATGATGTGTTTGGATGCAAGTTTACAGTACACATGGTCGAATGTAGAAAAATGTCCTCTCCATCATTGTTTTGGCCTCTCTGTCAGGTGGTTCATTTCTGCCGTCCTAAGAGACAGCTGGGAAAGGAGGAAGGGAGGGGACTCGGGCTGCTCTTCCTTCTGTCTCAGGGACCACACGCGCAGGGACGTGAGGTGTCAGAGCAGCAACTCTGCAAGAGAACTTTCCAGGTCACTAAGCAGGAAGCAAGCTCAGTACCGCAGAGTCCCAGCACATGCCTGCTGGACAGAATCATGGTTTACAGCTAAGAGAGGAGAAAATGCCTTCACACTAGAGTCAGTAGAATATTCTTGAAAGAGTAATAAAATAGAAGTGCCCCACCAGAATGTAAAAGGAAATATAGAGCTACAGTAATGAAAAGAGGGCACTGTTGGCATCAGAATATATTCACAGAGCATAACGTATCCTGAGAGATTGCAAGAGAGAGAGAGAGAAAGGGAGGAAGAAAGGACAGGGGGGAGAAAGAAAGAGGAAAAATAAAATCTTAAATTGCATTATCTGTTGTTTGTGGTTGTTACAATATTTTTTCTTTCCGCAGCAGTGGTTGGACATGAAGCAACAACGTGAGCATGTGAATAGCATATCTTCTAAAATGACTTAAATAAACTCTTGTGTGGCCACACCCAGGGTCCTCCAAGTGTCTGTAGCACAGCTCATCTTCAGGGCACATACGTTGTTGTAAAATCGTAAGGCAATGTGGCATTTTGCCTTTACACTACATCTCAAATATTTTGTGTTCTCTCTTTTCTAGTGTGAAAAATCCTCATTGAATGTCACCTGAGGAAAAAAAGGACTAGAGATGAGGTCTCCCTATTGAAGGTTGAAATGGTGACATCCACTGCTGACTTCACTGAACGGCTAATAAAGAATTTATTTATTGTCATACCTCACAGACACTGTCCCACATCCACATCCATTCAGTGGCCTGCCTGTGGCTGGTAAAATAAAGCAATGATCCGTCTTGCATTCAGTGAGACCAATTCTGATCTATTAATGAATTGTGGCAGGAAGGGCTTGTGCTGTATTCCTAATCAAGACACTTAACATATTGGAATAACACTGTTACAGTAAGCAAAGTATCTTGTTACTTTGATTCACTTAATGGAATTTTTTTTGTTTCGTGTCTCAGATTGCTTTTATATGTCTATTTTAACACCTACGTCTGCCTTGTGTTTTCTAACTCATGCACGTGCTCTCTTCATACAATTTTAATAAGTAATAAAATCCAACATGTCAAAATGATTCATTTCGTTTTTCTTGTTTTGCATTATGTATTTGGCTGTAAGAGTTGGAATTACAAAAGAGGGACAAGGAGAGAAAGTGAATACATATAAAAGGTCACCAGACATTGCCTATTACTTTTATCATGAAATAGTATCTTTCTCCTAGAGGTATGGTTCTGAAATAGCCTGAGTATTTTGAGGCTCCACTATGAAATCATTGCCATTGTTTTCCCTTTATGTTTACCTAATTTGAATTAAAATGAACTAAATCATATGGTGAACTATATTTTCAAACATGATTACACACCTCGATGCTTCACAGGAAGGCAGCTTGTCGATTAGTTTATTTTCATTATCCACTGAGTCATTCAAGAAAAACTCAATTGTGTGTAGCAGGAATGGTGCTGGTTTGGGTGGAAACTGGCCATTTGTGCAGATCACCTCAACTCCATTTGTGCTTGCTCTAAGAATGGGCAAAATGACAGAAATGCAACTGGGAGTCTCACTCAGAGGCTGTGTCCTAAAGAAGAGCTTCTTAGAGAGGACAAAGGGATGAGGAACAGCTCCGGCATCTGCTGTAGGACTGAAACTTCAAGAACTCAATGGTGTTACCACAGTGAGAAGGTACTGTCTCAGGAGTGGAGTCGCGTATTTACCCACCCCACAGACATTGCCTAAGCTGGACATCAGTGTATCAATTTAACCTGGGAAAGAGCTCTCCTCCAGACATGCTGGGCTCAATCAGCAGTTGCAGCCCATTCTCATAGGAAGCCAAGGCACAGTCAGGAGTTGGCTCTCAGAACACAGACCAAGAAGAATGAAGTGAATGATTTGAATGTGCCATGAGGTCAAACTATGAAAGTCTAAAGCATTGATCTCAACAATAGAGCTCAACTTCCCCCTGGGACTGGACAGATCGAGTCCGTGATTTGGGAACCCTCTTTCCACCAAGTTGGGTTTGTGACGGTGGGGTGGGGACATTTGCTATTTATGCTCACATTGCTGAACGGCCGTCCTCTACTTGAGCCCATTCACACTTTTATCTGATGTTAATGTCCTCTACTGAGCCTTGTTCAGGTTGACTCTGATTCATTTTGGAGGGACTTATATGATTTAGTAAATGCCGTTCAGTTACACTTGAACTCAGGGTCTGTGTGTCTCTGTGTTGTTGTGAGGGAAAAAGCACATCACTATTGCCCACATCTACAGTCCATCCATGCTCCCGGGTTCAGGGACACAGATCTGTGTCACCTCATCTACGTTGACTAAATGAAACCAAAAAGTACCAGCCTCAGTAAATCAAACACCATGGAAGAGCACGGACACTTGGTGGACTGTCAGGATGATCTTAGTGCTCCAAGAAGTCCCGTCTGCTCTTTCCTTCAGAACAGGGTCATGAGAGTGGACTGAGATGCAGCATCTGAACAGTCCTGGGAGTAAGATTCCAGACTCACACTGTGGCTAATTGGAGGAAACTCTGTAGATAAAAAGCAGGGAACCCCTGACCTCAGCCTAAGAGTATGTTTGACAGCAATCACATGTGTGTGTGTAGATGAGTATTTTCCTGCCATCAGCTGTGACCCTTTGAAAGTGAGCATGGTTGGTTGTGGTTTAACTGTCCTTACTTTATCTCATGATGCTTTAGCCACTGCTCCCACAACCCCAACCAGTAGGGGTCGGTTTAAGTTTGAGCATTTTCCACGAAATCAACCACATTTGACAGAGCATGTACACAAAAGAAGCCTGAGAAAATAACACACCAGCAGCCACATCAGCCCCCTCCTGCCACCCAGCGTGTCCCCTCCACCACTTGTGCTCTCCCTCTCTGTGCCGCCTCGTTCAGGGCAGCCCAGGCCCAGTGCGGAAGGAAGCTGCTCAGAAGTTGGAAGCCACAGGAGACACTGCCTAGCAGTGCCTGGCGGTGAAGTCAGCTGCACAAAGCTTTCTTTGATTTTCAAGTTTCCCTTTTTTGCTTCTACTCTTTCCCAAGGTAGGAGTAGTTCCAGGTCTCTAAGGAGAGGGCCAGGGATTGGGCCTAGAGAATCTGGAGAAATTCACTATAACAGAGGAGAAGATCTAGTTAAACTTAATCATTCTTGTGTTTAGTGAGTCTCATTTTGTTTCCAAATGGGAATCTTTAGTTGATTTCCAAAAGAACATATTTCACAGAAACTGAAGCTGATTGTAAAGAAATAAACAAAAAAGGTTTCCCAACTTTAAATGAGACAATGTTTATTTTTAATATATAAATAGGTTTTTTTTTACTTTAAATGGATTAGTTAGAGAAAATAGAAAAATATACAATCTCTTATCATTTTTCCCCCTCCTGCTATGCATTGAACCTGTTGTTTTACGTCTATGCCTGTGGAAATAGAGAGACACATATAAAGGCAGGTGATACCTTTTGGTATTATAACTCAGTATAAGAACAGTCAAATGACATGAAGAAATGTTTCACGGAGATAGAAATATAGATTTTCAATATATGAAAAGATGTTTCTCCTCACTCATAGTAAGAGAAAAGCAAATTAAAATGATGATGAGAAACTATTTTTCACTTGTCCGATTAGAAAGTCCTGAGGCACACTCTTGGCATTCACCGACACTATGGTAGAAGCACAAAATGATGCTCTCTCTATCATACGCGAGCTAGCGATACCTATCAAAATGCCCAAAAGACACACTCCAAATGACAGAAAATGTTATTACAATTTCAGTATTTCTTAAGAGAGCAAAGATTGGTAATGAGCCATAGGTCT